CACACACACACACACACACACACACACACACACACACACACACACACACACACACAGAATTCAAATAATATTGTTTCAATAAACAGAGTACGTATAATAAAGAGCTCCCCTTAGATGTCACTTCCTGTCTCACTTTGGCTGAGCCAAATTTAAAAGGTATGCGACAACGTGGATAAAATAATTTTTATCATGCCATGTTTCTTAAATATAAAGATGATTCATTTGACCTTTTGTATTTGAAGGATATGCACGTCACAGGCACTTTAAACTTGTGTTTTTAAAGCCTTATAATTTGAAGAAGCACAATTGCAAATAATTAATTTACTCTGTTTTTATAACTTCTTAATTTGATTGGACCAGGAAGACAAATTTTTAACTTTGATTAAATGTTTTAGAAATAATTTACCGTAGAAATCAAACTTTAGCAGCCTGTCTTTTCAGCTTGTCTTCATCAGTGTTTGTGTTTGTATCTCACCGTCCTGTCCGTCTGTGGGAATCTGCGAGCTGTTGCTCTTGGAACTGCTCTTGCTCTTCTTGCTGCTCTGAGACGTGATCGAAGGGTTCGACTGCAGTTTTCTGTTGTGTTTGGGTCCAGCTGAAGATGACGAGGAGGTGGACGAGCCGCCTTTCGGGAGGGAGCCCAGCTTCGGGTGCCTGTGAGTGCCGCCGTTTCTGACAGCGTTGGACTGAGGTGCGTGCAGGTGAGGCGTGTGGTGCGGACAGTGTGTGTCAGGGGTGTGCGTGTGTTCATGGCTCTTGGCTCCGTTGCGCAGCAGGCTGCTGGGCTGAGACCTACACGGCTGCGTGGGATGGATGGGCGTGGATCTGGCTCCTGGTTGCGCTGTGAATGCAACAAAAACATGCATTTACTACAAGAAAGAAAAAAAAAACTTAAATATTAACAAACTATACACATCTGATCAATGTTCATGCTAATATAAAACAAAGGATGCAGAAAATGTAACTGTTTTAAAACATTAATTTGTGGACATCTATGCTATTTTTAAAGAATAGTCCATTTTTAAGTTCGTCTTTTAAACGTTTAATATTTTACATGTTGAAGACTGCTCATTGATAGAGTTCAGTTGAAGAAACATTTTAATTCTAACATGATTGATGAGCTAATGGCTAGTTGTGGTGTGGCTGAGACAAAGTTAAATATTGCATTTTTAAAAGACCTACAAGATAATTTTACAATTTCACTGTCGTTTATGTGACCATATACAAAGGTAATGTATTACATGGTCAGCTTTGCAGGAAATATACTCCTGCTGGAAGTGCCATAGCAAGTGCTACAGCTACTACCTGTTGCTGCTCCTGCAAATAACTATAAAGCCATATACGGAAATTCCTGTATTGCATAAGTAACTACAATGCATAGATTTATAAAAAGGTTTTTGCATGAACTGCCACTACACAATCAGTATTGTAGTTTAAAATGGCACATTGTGACTAGCTTTAGCTCATTAATATTGTCAGAAATAAATGACATTTCCCCAATATGAAACTGTTCAAAATATTATCCTTAGCTGGTAAATTTGTTCATCTGTTTTTGGTACCCCACTTCAAGATCTGAACTTTCACTTTTTTATATTTTACAACCTGTGAGAATTTTGAACTTTGTGTGGCTCTCAGGTTTCTCTCGTCACCCTGTGTGCTGGTTTGGACTCAGGCAGTGTCTTTTTTGGGTGGGTGGGKGGGGGGGGTTGAAGTCCAGTCACAAAGCAGACTAACTGATGGGATGAGCGACAGTTTGTTTACTGTTCTGACCCCTGATTCTACCCGTCTAGACATTTGCACAACTAGAGGGAAGGTGCAAAGTGGATAAGGGAACAGGACAGATGTAAAAATTAGGAGCCATGAGGAGAAAAGTTACTGTCTACAGAAACCAAAAAACCCAAACATTTTGCATAAAAACCATAAAGTCTGCAAATCCACCAATGCAAAAACTAAGGAGTGCTGACCTTGGCTCAGTGTGCCAAATATTTCACTTTTAAATGCCACAGAGAACTACAAGTTTAAAAACCTGAGCAAGAAACTGACTCACCCTGAAAACTGGAATAAAGGAGAGGCCTGGATCGTAGTTATAAAAATCCTGTTTTTTTAAATATTTTTGAGCTGAAATCTTGTGGCAAATAGATGTATGGCAAGACTTAACATGGGTAAAGACGCTCTTTATCGAAAAAAAAGAATAAAATAAAAAGAAGCATACATCTGATAACCACTGAGAGACAGATAACTCATGCAGGTCTGCTTTGGTTGGCTGCTGGTTATAAGATCATACAACAATCCAGTGTTATTTAAGATTCTTTCATTCAGCGTTTTCTAACTTTGCTCCAGATGTTTGGCAAGCTGCACAGCTGGTGTGAGTGTGCACGAGTGTGTAGTTTATGCATGCATGTGCAAAGCTAGAAGAGGCGGCCATACTTCATTCTCTAAAGTGTGTCAAAAGTCGATACTGTAGCTGCTGCTCCCTTAAATTATATCTTCTCTGTGTCTTTCTCTTTCCACTCAGTTTCTTTAAAATTTTCCCTCTGTTTAGCCTTTTATCTAATTGTCTTTTTAAACATTTTCATCTAGCCAAAGCAAAGTTCAGTCAAAAAAATAAAGGTAGAATATAAAAACACGAGGGCTGCTGGGCACATTTTTTCATTATTCTCTTAAGTTTTTGAAAAGTCTCCAGAGGTATTTTGAGAAATTCATACTGCTTATGAGTCTGTGGGGTGTGTGTCTGTGTGTATTAAGCACACACACAGCACATATAGGTGGATCTGGCAGCCAGACAGACAGAAAGCATGAGAGAGAGGCACGGCGAGTCAGGATTGTCTCCAAGCAGAAGTTGAGGTTATGCCCACTCACGCGCAAATATATGCAAGAAAGAACACGTGTACACACACACACACACACACACACACACACACACACACACACACACAC